TGGTACCTATTGTAAGTGAGGCTAAGGCAGGGATTACACACTTCATGCTAGCCATATGGATTCATACCAGCAATGGGTGCTTTGATTGGTTAAAAGCGGTCAGCATCTGTACATTGATGCTCATGCTAATGGTTCCTCATGTGCCGTAGCAGCACAGAGGGTATAGGCTGCTGGGGACACTTGTTTAGCATTAAAGTGCTAAAAACGGTTTTAATGCTGAATGGAAGGAGAGACTCTATAACCAGTTAAGTGTAATGAAATTCAAAGCAGTTACTGTGTCTACAGTGTCCCTTTAAGTGAGAGAGGGAATATTTAATAAAATAAATGGAGAACATTAGGTTATGAGTAAAGCAGGATGGCCTTGTACAACTGTAAGAGGGAACATAGTGACAAGGATTTTGTAAAACAAGGTGAGGAGTGTAAACATTTTCACAGTACAGCAGCAGATGATTTTGTATGTGACATGAAATGGACAGTGATTAAATCTAAGTTTTAATAGAACAAAGCCAAAGATGGTGTTGACATGCAATTTTTGATTAGTATTGAGAATATTGTAATGCCATTATTAATATAGGAGAATTTGGATAAAAATTAGCGACTAAAGATAAAAGTGTCACAATGCTGTGGATATGGTGTTGTATTTGCCAAACTGTTTTAGAGCTGTTTGTAAAAACTGTACCATAACCTGGCACCCTGGAGCCCCTTTCGGTTGCAGAACAGTCTTTTTTTTTTTTTTTAAAGTTTTTAATAATGTATGTTCAAATGAAGATGGAACTATTTCAGTAAGCAAAGAAAGGCTAAATTGTGAAGAAAGCTTATGAAGTATTGCTAATTCTATTTTAAGACTTTACAGTTGCTATGTTTAATAATATAATCTTTGTTTAAAAATGAATATATTATAAGAAGCTCTGCAAAAAGTTTCATTGATGGATAATCCTGGACAAACTTTACTTCTTAATGTCAAAAAGTTATGAAAATGTTTTTAAAAAATCAGTTCTTAATCCTTATCACAAGTATCTTTATTTAGCACAGAATAAATATACAGTACAAGGAAATTAAAACCGAGCTGTGCTTTTTTGTTTAAATTAGTTACTCCTTTGGTCCTGCTTTCACTCATGCAAGATCTCCAAAGAACACAAAAATGTTTTATAGACTAACCTCTAGACTTGAATCTTTTTTCATGCCTTGTATCCATTCTCATATGCCTAAATCCTGGTCTTTAACATGCCTCCTAACACGTATGTCTCTCTGGAAGCATCTTACCCATGTCACTACCTAGTCCCTACCCTTGTGTCGCTCAATAAAACTTACCTGCAGGGACGTATTTGCCGCGACGCAAACAAGGCATTTGCCTTGGGTGGCACTTTCCAGGGGGTGGCAAAAAACGCCACCCCCAATGCCCAGGCAAATACCTTGTTAGCTTGGTGGCAGGAGGCAGCTGAGTTCCAAGGTGGGCCAATGGCATCATATTCCGGCTCCCAGGATCACTCTGCGGCGCACAAATCAGCGCTCCCTCGCTGCCCGCCTTGGAATTCAGCTAGCTGCCAATCTGCCTGCATGCCTGCCTCCCTCCCTTCCCAAGC